TGGTTGTTCGGTTTTTGATCGTGTTCTCCTTTGTTTTCAGCCCTTCGAAGGGGCTGACCGACCGTCTGCATCCCTCCTCCCCCCTAGCACTGCCTCGGCACGCCGGCATGCCGACATGCACGCCGGCGGACTATGAAAGCAGCCACTAGCCTCTCTTTCCCACCTTCATAGCCCATTGTAACAAGGTTGTCGTGAATTGAAATGAGAGATGAAAGTCGGAGCGATCACGTTTGCAACCGTGAAAAGGTATGAGAAGTGTGATGGGAGCTTCATAATGTTGTGTTAGAACACTCACACAGCAGTAACTGAGCACATTGAGCATATGTAGGTGTAAATAAGCCAACGAATGGCGAAAGTGGTATAGTCACCATCACACACGCATGGCCATGGGTTCGAATCCCGCATTCATATCCGCCTGGGCAGGCAAGCCTTCCACCATCTAAGGTCGTTTGATCGGTACCAGACTAAAAGGACTGGGTTATACATTGGCTGGCCAGTGCAATTCATTGCATAGGCCACATACGCATTCAAAGCGCCTTTATGGCTTTGATGGAGATTGAATGCAGGGCGCATCTCTCTGATGGCTTGATCGACGCTCAAAAACTTTATGCCCTATCCTTTGAGCAGACGAAGGAGACTATATAACCTTATGTTAATCATTACCTTTTGCACTTTAAATGTACCGAATCTTTCCCGTTCCGTTCCCTTTTCTCCCGAAGTTTTTCCGCGATCCTCTGGTACAATTTCTAAATAAGAAGGTAGAAAAAGAACTGAACTAGCAATAGTCGTTCTACTTTCTGGAACTTTTTGCTGCGAAAGAGATGGACAATTGGTTCCGTTCTCAAGACCTCCCCCGTTCATTCTTCCCCTTCGTCATAATCCATTCCCCGCTTCTTGTTTCTAAGCGAAGACAAGGATGCTTCCATTCGTGGATACGTTTTTTGTGAATATATTGCCAGTCTAGTGGCTCTCCAGCTATTTTCAGCAAAGAAATTTAGTTAAAGGACGCAGTGACTGAAGAAACTAATGAAGTATTGTGTTTTGCTGAAGGGGGCATACGGTAATTCAATTGTTCAATGCATGTGTCTGATCAAGAAAGCTGTTCTTGTCTGATAAGTAATAGTCTTTAAAAGTCTTTAAATGGCATTAATCAATCCCATCATGCGGATGCGCCCCGCATTGATCTCCATTGAGAATTGTAGTGGCGTATTGAATGCGAATGTGGCCTATACAATTACTTGGGGTGGCCAGCCGATGTACAAGTCAGTGTTTTTATCCTCTCAGGTCTGGTACCAGTTAATCCATCCCTGAGGAATGGAAGACTTTGTAGGCATAGGCGGATATCGGTCTATGATTTGAAACAGTGACCAGGCCTGTGTGATAGTGCTCCACTTGGCACTACACCACCTCTGCTCCATTCTAGTAAGGAGTGTAGTTGAAATTCTTCGGCCGTACAAATTCTTTAGCTGCAGTCACACAGTGCGCGAAATATCTGCCACACGTGTGCCTGCATCCGTAAGAATTCGGGTAGAAAGTCCTCCATCTTATCTCCCATCTGAGTAGGGTATCACATATCATGAATTACCCAGATAAGAAATCAGGGAGAGATTCTTCGATTACATCGAAATTTGAGAACCTGTTGAGGAGCAGGTTAGACTGATTGGGAGATGATTAGCGCAAATCGCTTTGTATTAGTTGATCCCGTTCTGAGATACGCCAAGTGGTTTCTCGCTTCGGCTCTAGTTAGTACCTACCAGGTTTCCACCTCGAAAACATGAAGGTTTCACGCTACTATATGGTTGGCGAGTTCTGGGCAAAACGCTTACAGCTAAACGGTTCAAAGCTGATAGTGGCCGACCGGCTCAACATGTTGTACCTCTGAGTACTGATAAGCTATGGCATGAAAACCAGTAGGAAGGCGAAGAAAGCGGGTTCTCGGTAGTTTAAGGGATAAAGCACTGTACCCGGAAAGCACAGGTACGGGTTCGAGCCCTGTCCGAGGCCGAAGTTTTGCNTATATGGTTGGCGAGTTCTGGGCAAAACGCTTACAGCTAAACGGTTCAAAGCTGATAGTGGCCGACCGGCTCAACATGTTGTACCTGTGAGTACTGATAAGCTATGGCATGAAAGCCAGTAAGAAGGCGAAGTAAGCGGGTTCTCGGTAGTTTAAGGGATAAAGCACTGTACCCGGAAAGCACAGGTACGGGTTCGAGCCCTGTCCGAGGCCGAAGTTTTGCCCACAAATCGCCATCCTTGTGAAACTTCCGAACCGCTTACTGCGACGAAATAACAGCAATTGACAAGAAGATCAGTCCAAGGCTTGGACTGATCTTCTTGTCAATCTTCTTAACAATTGCTGTTATCTAATTTAGCGCGGCGATTTAATCCTCGAACCAAGGGTTTTGTAGAGCTGGTACTGGCTCATCATGACCCCTCTTGTGAAGTATACAACTACAACTGCGATCTTTCCATTCTTTCAAGTACGCCTGTTTGGTTGTTTTTTGATCTATTCATCTTTGTTGTTGAATCCAGGGTAACAGTGGATAATTGGCCTTATTAATTTCTCAGAACTGTTTGAAATAAGTGTTTACAGTTTTGATGCGTTGTAAATTGCCTTCAGCTCCCCAGACACTAATAACTAGTACTTTGTTTTGTCATACGCCTATGTATTTTCGGAAAATTGTAGGAAAAACAGATTTGTGGTCCACGGAAACCATGCTGATTTCTCAATTGAATTTTTCTGGACGTTGTTCTATGAGCTGATCAGATTACTTTATAAGACATTGCTTCGGCAGACATGATACGTGGATGAAATCTCGCCGATAGGTCAATCAAGCTATTCAAGCTTTTTAGAAAGGATCAATTGGCAGAGGATTCATCTGAAATCAGAAGAACATGGTCTATGTCTAGCTGGCCTCTTAAGCTTAGCGAAGACCTATTGTTAGAAGCAGCCATTTGTGGTGCAACATATTCTTTCGGATATATTTCTCAACACTTATCCGAAGTCCGTCAGTTGAGTTAGAGGAATTGTTCTCTGAAAAGAGTTGAAGGAGTTTTCTCCACGACTGAGGTGAGAGCCAAAACGAATAACTTCATCTCCGGAGATTAGCTGGAGTAGAGAATGCGGGGAGTTGGCCCAATAATTAAGAAATTGGGTTTGCGGAATTTTAAACTTTCCACCAGATATTCCAGTACTTTAACCCTACAACAGTTTACTCTGTGGTGAGGTTAAAGTAGTTTTTTTTCGCCTACAAAGTTTATTCGTCATTAGCTGCTGCTAAACATTTTGTCGATGGGGCAGCCAGATTAAAGTCATTGGGTTTGATTGACATTTCGAGAGAAAGGTAAAATTCGCGATTGAACCATTCACCGTGGAAGGTGATGTAAGCTTTTTGCATCCCCTATCCTGGTTGCAAGCGGTGATGTATTCATGATGTTCGACTTTGTTGAATCTTGACATAGCGTAGATGACTTCAATTTACTTAGTTACAGCTACAGGGGGATTACAAACTTATATGATTAAGATTTTGGCCTAGGGCGGAGGTGGTGTAGTGGCAAGTGGTGCACTATCTCACACGTAGGATCAGGGGTTCAAATCCCGGATCGATACCCGCCTAGGCCAACAAAGCTTCCATCCCTCCGGAGTCGGTTAATTGGTGCCAGATCGTCTGGGAGGATAAAAGCACTGACTTGTACATCGGCTGGCCACCGCAAGTCATTGTATAGGCCACATACGCACTCATTACGCCACTACGATTCTGAATGGAAGTCGAGTGCGGGGCGCATCCCTTAGACGGGATTGATTAACGCCAAAAACTTTGAAACTTTTAAACTTTAAGATTTTAGACTTGCTGTTTCCGTCAAAGCCTGGAGAACAGAAATACCTAAAATTACCCTTTCTGAAACATCAATCCCACATCTTAGGGGGTGAATCTGAAAAACCTTTAGTTTACGGACTCAGATAAAAACAACAAGGCCGAATTTTGACGGGCTGAAGAGGTTCAAAAAAAGAGTTGCTATAGTTGATAGTATTTCGCACGCAATGGGAACTTGTGCGTGTCTTAAGGATAGTAAACAGGGCTTACTACAAGTTCAACACGCAAAGGGAAGTTCCGCATGCGCACGAGAAGAAATGACTAATGTTAAAGTTCTAGGAATCGTTGAATCGATCAGATGCCTTCCAGCTTCGTTAGACTTTCAAAGGAGAGTCTAGAATCATAGAGATTCCCGTTTTGGCTGTTGCTACCGAATCATCTGGAAAAGGATTTTTGCTTCCCCCATTTTTTCCCAACCATTTCTAGCAAGGAGTGGGGGATGAGCCATGTTACTCTACCCGCCGTGCTAACATTAAAGGATTGGAAGTATTTACCCACTTTTCTGTTTTCTTTAGTGTGTTTCTTCTTGTTGTACCGTAATGATCTGGGGAACAAGTTGAATCGCGACATTTATCAATTGGAAAATCATAATATATGATAATAAGATATGGTGATAATGATGAAAGCCACGGAACGATAGAGCTTGCTGCAATCAAATACGTATTGATTAGAAAAAATCGAACGAAAAATCGATATAACTGAATAGCGCTTATGATTGATTATCAGTAGCGAGATCACAATATGAGAATAATGCCAAATGAATAATTATTGATTAAATGAGATCAATGAGTAACAAAAAAATATGCTTTGACAACATCAAATATACATATAAGGTACCCAAATATGGATGTGCGTTATGCAAGTTGAAGAGGAATTTCAAAAAAATCAATAATCGATCTACCCGTACTATCACTAGTCTCATTAAGACACAGCGTAACTAGTAACGTATTAGAGAAGTGCTTAGAAGTGAGGTACGTGTGACCGTATCACCACCGTCTACCGTCCGCTTCTCAACCGGGTAGAGACGCAGTGTAAACATGTTGAACCTTGAAGTTCTCTGGCTGTCTGCCTTCTGTCTTTATCGATTGTCTGATCAATCGATAATTGATTAATGGTGTCATCCGGTTAGTCATCATCCTCAGCGTTATCTCCAGTTTCTGCTACGTGTACTGGTGGTGCAGAATGGGGTGGTTTCAAATGATGTGTGCCCTGAAATGATTGGATGAAATACAGTACCCTCACAAAAATCAATAATCGATTCAACTCACTTTGTATTCTTTTCCCATATGTTCGACAGTGTTTTTCCATTGCTCGATTTCAGATTTGTCATGCGCCAGCAAACCCAGATATGCACATCCAATCACGTCGTCACCAGTACATGTTCTGAAAAAGATTCGGTTCAAAAATCGATATCGATCAATACATCGATGTTAATAGGCACTGTGAGTTAACTTTGTTCATTTTGGGAAGTGAAAAAGTTATTAAATGAAGAAAAAACGTAGCATATGGTAACGTAATGAGTAGTATGTTGGCGACCGTACACCAGGTATAACTGGGTGAATACTGGTTAATTAATTTCTATCAAAAAAAGGCATTGCGGGCGAATATGCGTTTTTAATTCAGAACCAGCAATTTCTGGAATTATCTAGGTTTGAGTGCGTGTTTTAAAATAGGTATTGATTTTGCGCGCGCGTATCCATTCAAATAGATTTGAGCTGATAGAAGACCGGTTGAAGCTGTGTTTGCATCACACCTTAGGGTTTTCAGTACTGAAATTTCCAATAAGAAGTGTTCAGAAGTAACGTTATGCCTTACTGTTTTGTTATTTTATTTACAATCACTTATTTTTTGTTGACTATACCGTCGAAAGATTATTTCATTGCGATAGTGAACAAATTTCGAAAAAGTTCCTCAATTAGACGAATTTTAATTATTCCCACCATTTTTGGGTGTACCCTTTGAAATATACGACTTCTCGTCAATCACATGCAACAACGTTGAAGAGCTCCCGATAGAAAGCAGGCATGGAGATCGTGGTGTTCGTGTGATGTCCCATGGGACAAATCGCTGAAGGATCTGCCGAAGTAATCATCATGTCCTATCGGGCTCACCTGGTCTTTGGCCACTTTGGCGACTTTGCAGACGCACTGATCATTGAACTCCTTGGAAGATCTTCTAGCACTGGTTCGGAACTGCAAGCGTCTTCTTTTCACGCGGTCTGCGAGATTACCCTTAGTATACGGTTTGCGTGGAGCTTGGGTCTCTAAGCAGTAGCACTGCATGGGGAAGAATGATCCAGAAATGGCTGCTCCCCATCCTGTTGCTGCTGCTTTCGAATTCATTCCTTCCTCATGTTTTTGGGCGATACCACTTCACTGCTTTCCTCTCAGCTACATCATACAATGGCTTCCCCACTTAGAACCTACCATCCAGTGATCACCCTACCAGTCCCGCTCCTGACTTGGGCCATGGTATCCTCCTGAAGAAACGCCTTTGGACTCTATCACAAGGTTTAGCCAGACAACCACCCAACACAATGAAGCCGCCAGCTCCAAAGCAATCAGCAATTCACAGCCAAGGCGACAATACGGAATCATTGAATTGCTTCTAGCTCGCTTTGGGTGGTCCCTCGATTCCTTCCAACCCTGCATAAGATAGGACGATTGCTGATGATCACACTGCTCCCTTGGGGACATCAAACATCAGTTGCTCCCAAAGGGAGTTTTCCCCATAATTAAACGTCGACGATTAGCCCTCGGGGTGCGAACAGATCAAATAAAAAGGATCACTTAGTGAGATTGCATTAGTAGAAATCGGATAATCTTCGAACTGACGCGCTTCCTCAGAAAAATAAGGTCTTATCAGGCTCGAGAAATTCTTGTGAAAAAAAAGTCTTGAAATTCTTGGAGACTTGAAAATTCGAAACTTCCCGATTATCCCCTTTGCCCTGACCCCGACCTATTGCTCAAGCCTATTTTCCCTTTCTCTAAAAATAGAGATGTTTTCCATTACACGTTCGAAATTGGGAAAAATCGAATTTGTCCAGTCGAGACAATCAGGCCCTAATCAGTCAGAATACAGTGCATCGCAAAGTTCACCTTATAATCGTGTCAGGACCCGCCGACGTTTGCGTCGTTACCTCGTTAGCATGTTGTTGCTTATGTGGCAACGAGGTTACTGGACATATGTAAAGATTTCACTGCACTTTAACCTAACAAGCCAAAATTACCGTTTCCTTGTGAAGAAAACGACGTGTTATTGAAAGGGCAGCTACCGTAATCTTGTACAATATCCCTTTCTGGAGCATATGACCTCGAGCAGCAAGTTCAACCAGAAACATTGTTATACTAGCTGGGAAGGGCAACTTTCCGAGAAAGTTCATCAGCAGCCCAGCACTGCTACTTCAATTGAATAAAAACAGTGAATCGATTGATGACCAAATCGATTTATCGATCTTTTTCGGCAGATTTCCCGGGCTGGAAAAGTTAGGAGGCATGGGAACAGCTTGTTCTTTCTACCCTTGTCCTAGTGTCCCCTTCAAATGTGGTCTATCAGTTGATTGTTTAACTAAAAACACTCTGTGACATCCGCAGCAATGTTGTCATGTCATTTCTTAGTTGATCATGCATAAAGTTGTCAGTCACATTCTCCATGAGATATACGTTCTTGTCATTTTTCCGGCCATCTTCTATTTAGAGTACAAAGAATCAAAGATTCAACAGACACGCCGTACTTCCTCCTTCAGTGAGGATGATGGAGGTAATTTGAGGGGTACGCAGCTTGACAGCCTTAGAAATCCTTTAGATACCCGAAAATGGCATGAGTTAAAGCCCCTTTCAGGACCTTAAAGACCATTGCTCCCTTGGTTGGAACCATGAGCTGGAGTTCAGGGTGAATAGCCCCGAGCACAATGGTTTTGAATTTTAAATTCAGAGATATTTCAATATACCTTACTGTGGTAACTTTTCATAGTATTTAGAGATACTTCGATATAATTTAATATGGTAACTTTTCTTAGTACTTGAAGATACTTAGAAATATTCCAGTATACCTTATAATGATGACTTTACTGCAGCTAACTTTACTGCCACAAAAAAAATGCACATTAACTTAACACTGTATATAATCATCTTGCTATACTATACTATGTTATACATCATGATATTTCGTGATACTTTATAATACTTTTTCCATCCAATTCAACTATATCCGTTAGAACGTTAGTGTAGGTGAGATTATATGGCCCACTTCGGCTTAATGAGCTGAATACGTCATCCATGAACCCTTTATCTCTGACCCTTCCCTCCTCCTAACCTTATCCCGAGCTCAGCTTTTTCGTGAATTACCGACATCCCTCTGTTGTTGTTGAATGTTAACCGAGAATTTTCGCCGTAGTTGACAAAGGAACATGGTGTATGAGTGTGTCGTAATTAGAGATTAGCATTCAAGCGGAGAAAGACTCAGATTTTTTTTCGCCAAAACAGGTGACATCATCGGTGCAGAACATAGGCGGTGGAGCCACCTCAATGGAGAAACAAATAAGTATCTGGAATGATGAACCTTCGCTGAACATCCCTTTAATCAAGCTTTATATCTGAATCCCATGCAAACCGAACCCAGATTCATGGACTATGACCTTATGAGCTACGCCGGGGTTCGATCCAATGGACAGTTCAACGGCATCGCATCGTTGAGCAGCCGATACCTTCTTGACCACGAGAAATTTAGTTCACCAACAGTCAGATTTTCTGGACTAAACCACTACCCGCCTACAACCAAAATAGATTCCAAAAAACAGATCTCAACGGCCATATTTGGTCCAGACTATTTGTCCAAGTGCCGCATAGAGCTCATAGAACGTTCCCGTCAAGTCAAAGAAAAAACCAGCGATCATCTTTCCCTACGTCCTCCTCTGGCTCATATCTCCCGAGCCCGCATGACGTGTATAGCCGAATAATTAGCTTACTAATTACGAAATGACGTCATCGGCATTGAACCGGGTTTAAAAAGGCTAATTAAATATAGTCGCCCAGACGAAACCAGAACTTCGATGGCGTCATCTTTGTTTATCTGACCACGCCGACAATGGTCAATGTAATCAACATTCTGGAGTGGTAATGAATAATAATGAGTTGTTATTGGTGATAGTTTTTGGTTCATAGGTTGTTCAAGAAGCCACGCACTATTTGGTAGATAGATGATTCCTGATCAACGGAGGTGCATTCTATGAATATCCTATAACTCGTATCTGAACGCCGAGTAAATAGCCTGAGGGCCTAGTCCCTGGGAGACTCATATATGGGGCTAATTGCATTCATTAGATGAAGATATGTTCTCTGAATGGGACAGGGATGATCTAGAATTGAGCCGAGCCTCTTGAAGGCTTCTACGAGTCATAAGGCGATGAGGAAAATTTTGATTTCATTTTTTAATCGAAGAAAAATTGAAAAATTCAGTCCACAGCATGGTGTTCGGCTGAGATGATTGAAAAAATTGTAGTGAGAAATACTTGGCCCAGTCTGCCCCGATCGATATATCGATTTTTATTGAAGATGTTCCTGCTCAATCACAGTTTTTTCGACGAAATTGATTAGTGAAGCTCTTTGAATAAGCTCTTTTCCAAGAAACGGTCCAAAACAGCTAATCGAGCTGGTTGATCAGTGATTCCCCAACATGGATCGATAATTGATTTGATCAAAGCGAAGCGTTTATACTTATTTGTGATGAGGGGAAGATTAACCTTTGAAGAGTTTCTTTCGAAGGTTGTCTGTGCTATGGAAATCACGCGCTACTCAATGGAAGCTTAGTTAGCCAGTCAATTGTTGTTGAAATAAATGATAAATTTTGATAAGCGATGATAATTTGTTGTAGTATGTAATACTTTGTGTTTTTTTTTTT